GTTTCAGTTTTAAAGTTTACCTGTGTTTGTTTTGTAAGACATTTTACCGACTATTTTCAACCCAACATATACACACACGCTGGGAAAGGTACCACATATTATAATATCATTTCCAAGGGATTTGAAATCTCGGCCTAGGCCCTCCTACGCCGGCTCAACATAATGGTGATGGTAACATAGTGTCATAGGTGTCCTGTGCATAATGGAATCTGGGCCAGGCGGAATAGGGGTTGTTAGTATGAACCCTTATCGGGATATTGTTACCATACTAATACCAAACTACCTGCATTAATCAACAAGCATGTTGCTGGAAATTTGAGTTGTCCTGGAATCCCCCTTGAAGTAGAAGGGGGCTTGTGTGTGTCCGTGTGTTCTCGCGCGTGTGTGTATGTGACAAATCATGTATAAAACATCCGAAAACATGGAAAATGTACTTTCAAGTAGCTATTTAGTAAGAAACTAAAATGGAAATGTCAAAAACCAAAACGAAAAGTTCAAAAACTAAAATGAAACCACAGAAAACTATTTCGACCGCGGTGTAAATATTATCACCGCAGTGGAAATAGTTTTCACCGCAGTGTAAATATTATCACCACGGTGAAAATAGTTTTCTGTATTTTCATTTTAGTTTTTGACATTTTCTACGGTGGCCCATAAGGGACATGGAGTCTGTTTTTCAATATTTTGATGTTTAACTTACTTTTATCTTAACCTTTTGCAAATTAACACAATCTGCCATAATAATATGTGATAAATCATGTATAAAAACATCCGAAAACATAGAAAATGTGCTTTTAAGTAGCTTTTGAGTCGCTGAAATGTGAAGTGAAAATGTCAAAATCTAAAATGGAAATGTCAAAAACCAAAACGAAAAGGTCAAAAACTAAAATGAAAATGTCAAAAACTAAAATGAACCCTTATCGGGATATTGTTACCATACTAATACCAAACTACCTGCATTAATCAACAAGCATGTTGCTGGAAATTTGAGTTGTCCTGGAATCCCCCTTGAAGTAGAAGGGGTGTGTGTGTATAAGTGTGTATGTACGTGCGTGCGTGTGTGTGTTTGTGGGTGTGAATGCGTGTGTGTTTGTGTGTAGTGCGCTTGTGTTTGTGAAGCGTGTGTGTGTGCGCGTGCGTGCGTGCGTGCGTCTGTGTGCTGTATGCGCGTGTGTAGTGCACGTGTGTTTGTGTGGCGTGTGTGTGATTAGGTGTGGGTGCGTGCGTGTGTGTAGGTGTGTTTGTGTGTAGTGCGCGTGTTTGTGGTGTGTGTGTGTTTGTGTGTAGTGCGCTTGTGTTTGTGTTGCGTGTTTGTGTGGAGTGCGCGTGTGTATGTGCGTGCGTGTGTGTTTGTGTGGTGTGTGTGTGTTTGTGTGTAGTGAACGTGTTTTTGTGTGGCGTATGTTGTCTGTTTTTGTGTGTAGTGCGCGTGTGTATGTGTGCGTGCGTGCGTGCGCGTGTGTTTGTATGTGAGTGTGTAGTGCGCGCGCGCGTGTGTGTATGCATGTGTGTGTGCAGTGAACGCGCGCGCGCGTTTGTGTGTATGTATGTGTGTGTGTAGTGCGCGCGCGTGTGTGTAGTGCGCGTGTGTTTTTGTTGCGTGTGTTTTTGTGGCGTGTGTGTGTAGTGCGCGCGCGCGCGTGTGTGTGTGTGGTGCGCGTGTGTTTGTGTGGCGTGGGTGTGGTGCGCGTGTGTTTGTGTGGCGTGTGTGTGTTTGTGTGCCGTGTGTGTGTAGTGCGCGCGCGCGTGTGTGTTTGTGTGCTGTGTGTGGTCCTGACCCTGTAGATGGTCATCAGCAACACTGTCATCAGGTACGAAAGAAAGTTGTGACATATTGATATAATATCAAATCAATTCAAATCAAATGTTAAGTGTGTTTTATAGTCCATAAATAAAAGGATTTCACATGTTAAATTTCTGTACATTTCTGATCTTGAAGGCATATTTGAAATATAACATAACAGATTTTAAATCTTGATAACTTGAGGTTACCATAAGGCGAAATCATTAGACTGACGGTCGAATTACAAAATTGATTTGGTATGTATTGCTTTCGAATATCTTTAAAGGATGACACATTGAGGTGAGCTGATACAGATCTTCAATATTGTTAAGATTACAATATGTACATAATCTTTTAGATTTGGGAATTTTATGATGTCTCCCGGTATTAATATTAAGTCTTGTATATCCAACTCGAGCACGAGCAAACTTGGTCATAAATGTACACCAGGTCGAATCCATTAAATATTTATCTGTTTCAAGGCTTATCTTAAAATGTGTATTATATTCATACCTGGTACTCGATGATAATATATTGGTTGAAAAAGGTTAAGAAAACTAGCCATACCCCCAACATCTTGGTAGACCTAAACAAGATAAGTCTGACATTAACTCCACCTACTGAATCAAGATGAAATAACATTCCGTATGCCTGACGCGGAAGTATTAGATGGTATATGAAGTAGTTTCAGCCAGTATTTAATGCATCTCACCGAACTGTTTATAAACAATGGGTACCGCCCACATTCACTTAAAGCTTTTACATTGGAAGTGTTTATTCCTGTACCAAGATACTTTTTATATGCTAGATAGTGGACCCTTTCTACTACCTCTAATCTTTGACGTCTCCATATTTCGCATGCATAAAGAAGGATAGGTTAAATATTTTTTTTAATATTCCGATTAGGACTTTTCTATATGTCCAAACCAATTTTAAAACATTGATGAGTTATCTTTCCCACTTTAACGCCAAGTGTGACACAGTTCTTGTTAAATTTAAAGATAGAGTCGTCGTCAGTTCAAGGTACCTATGTTCTGATACAACTTCTACAAGTCCATTACGATAATACCATTTATCACAATGTTTAACAAGTCCACCTTTACGAAAAACACTTGTTTTAGTTTTCGACATGTTAACATTTAAGCTGAATAATAATTCAGTTGCTCTTGTAGTCCACTTACTCAATCACAAAAAAAATAACATAAGCAGCAAAAATCAATAGAAATAATATTTGTTACTCCTCTTCGACAAGAATCAAGAAGTTCAGCGGCCAACTCATTGATAAAAATAATTGGGTTTAACACAAAGCCCTACTTTAGTCCAAAAGGGAGTCGAAACACTCGGTAAAACCAGCGTTACTCCGCACACATGTGCTGTAACAGACGAGTACACAGACTAAATCATATTCAACATTTTAACAGGCAGGACACATTTTTGGAGAACATACATGGTCAAACCTCATAGACTATCACGTCCGGTCAAACCTCACGCTCCCTATTGGACTAAGCTTCTATTGAAGTCTAATGCCCTACTTTTTCATGGCTGAGACGGTTACAGGCCGCCTAAGCCACATTTCGAAAATAGATAGCCAAAATTGATGTGGCTCGCGGGGCAATGGTTACGGTTGCGTGATTGTGGAATGTGGCTCTCGTGGCTATGCTGTCAAAACATGCTTTGTGATTCTAACAGGTTACCGTATTTAACAAAACAAGTCTTGTTTTCACATTTTTTATTCAGATCATAACAGGGATAATATATTCAACATTACATTGATGGACATCATGACAGGTCATATTACATTGTCACATTACAGGTCACGATTGTGTAATGAATTGTTGTGTAGCACATCTAAAACAATGACAATGTTTGCACTTACATGTAAGACACAGATGTATTACGCTACTGCATGACTTGATGATGCCGAACACTACCATAATGTCATTACTGCAGATGAAGGAGGTCGCCCACGTGGTCAGCATATTCCATCTCACGTTCTGGCTGTTGTAGCCCTGTGTGACTGTCCACGTAATGACCATCTAGGATCAAGGATCCGGTGCCTGTGGTCATTCCTGTCTTGGGGACGAGTTACAGGGAAAGACTTCCGCTCGTATCCCACCTCTAAAACTTATTGCCGTTCAATTCTTTTAACTATTTATCTTTATATTACCGCTGAATCGACAGACAAACCAATCTGGTTTCAAGGTGACCCAATCAAATTTGCTTGCACGATTAATCGCATCGAGCGTATCTCCTTGGTGTTACGTCATTGGTGCAAAGGGAAGGTAATGAGAGGCACAGCAAATTACAGCAAGCCGCCCGTGCTACTTTGTTAACACTGGACAGACACATCCACCGTGTGTTCAAGATCACAGTTGGCTTCACCGGAGAGGACAAACAGAAGAAACAATAGTTTAGTCATAAGAACTTCATATTCTGGTATATGGGAATCACTAAACCTGTTTTTTTTTGAGGAAATAAAGCACATATTACGAGTGACACTTGACACAGAACAGGCATGTGTTTGATTGTGAAGACCCACGACAGAAATGTAACAATTATAAGTGCATGTACATTTAGTGAATGTCAAACATCATGCAATACTTGAAAATCGAATACAACAGTGAAATAAATAGATTGTGATTAATATCTTTCCCCCTAAAATGACGTCATCTCAGGGACATGTTTCATTTATTTTCACTTTAAAGACTCAAATGAGACCACATATATTTGCGTGGCAGTAATTCAGGATGTTATTGCACTAATTAGTTTATAAAAAAGAGACTGATTAAACTCCAAGAGCAAATTAAACGTGATTTATTCATAGCCAAAGAAACATATGCCGTAAATGACATTTTAAACAAACGTACACAATTTTCTTTTTAAGTCACTGAAAATTGCTGGAAAACCTTTTTGTCGTTAACCAAACAAAACCAAGTGTTCAGTTCAGTCCTTTTACTGGTACAAAGAAATAAATCGAAACACTACATGATCTAGACTTACAGCACCCCTTGGTCGTACCCGCAGAGCCCTCAGATAGTGATCGACAACGTGCGTCTTGATCCGGGGGTCAAGAAGTGCTGTCATGTTGACGAAATTAATTAATAGTATTCCCCAGTGCGCCTGCTTTCGTCTCAAAACGTTCTGTAAATATGTTTCTAAGTGCACCTCGACGACAGTATAACATTAAAAGTTCAAAGACTGGATGAACTTCCTATAAAAGACAGCAGAGGTTAGTAGACTGGCCCAACTGTAAAAGATGCAGACTGTGTGTGTTGCAGTGGTAGTCGTGGCCGTCCTTGCCGTCGTCTCTGGGACAACGTAAGTAGCGTGCGGAGTAGGTCATGTTAAATCATATGGCAATTCGTATTTATTAATACCCTTGATGCCACATCGATACTGTTTTGCTTCGAATTTTTGTGGATTGGTATGTTTTACGATAGACAGACTCATATATACTTTCCAAAGGGGAAATAATCCAGTCCCATGCTTGACAAAGAGCAGACTGAATTAATATATTTTGTGACAATGAATGGTTGATGTCCCCGTTACCCGACGGTGCCCATGATGTCACCCACTGATTTAATGGCTCGGATTACAATTATACTGACTCCAATTTATTGTTTAAAAAACAGCTCTGGTTCTATGGGTGTTTCTCATTTGGACAAGGCGTAGAACAATTATAAAGCGCTAATGTACCAGTGTAGTTCATATACTCGTGCAACTCCACCTGCATGTACCTCGAGATGTGCCATCAGTTCGTGTGGCTTGAGTGGGGGTGAACATTGTCACTGTTCACTTTATACAAGGCTGTCGTGTGCTCTGCCGTGGAAGTGGCCGTGGAGTACTTGACAGTGACATAACACAGATAGAGAACTCTGTAGCTTTTACTTGGACCTTTATATCCCGTTAAAGTAGGTCACTAACCCTCTATCATATACACCACATTGAACTTATCTTGTCATTCACATATTGTTCATTTAACAGGTCAGCTTGTTTATCTGGGAACGACAACAAGCCAACAATGATGTATATATCACAGAATATGTCAAAGAAGTATATTGTTCTTCTACCATTGTGGAGGACATATCGTCCAACTTCCTCCAATCTTAGGATGCGAGTAAAGAGATCTGTCTGATCCGTTTCGAGAATACTTCTATTGCATCACTGCCCTGACCTGGTCACATACTGTAACATTAAGTTGGTTTTCATTTTCGACATTTTCAGAATCCAGCCTGAGCAAAACTTCGGTATGTTCAATGTTCAGTCCATTTACTCGCCAAAAGGTTCCACACGACAATAATGAATGAATAAGTAGTCCTTAATTCTTTATTAATGCCAATAGTTTGGTTAAGATGATAACAGCTGTGTAGATTCCATATTGCAGCATATCTCAGTTACCAACACTTGCTGATGTTTTTCATAAGCACATCAAAAGAAGCAATAACGTTATAATTCACAATGTCCACAAAAAAACTGAAAAGAAGTTCATCTCTAACAATTAAGAAATGGGTGGTTACCCACGTGACCTGATATTCGCAATGTTTGCAGTGTGGGGCAAATGGTCCTCGTGGAGCGAGAGTGTGGGGGAGTGCAGCGCTAGCTGTGGGGGAGGCTCGCAGACTGTGGTGAGAACCAGGAAGTGCCAGGGCGGTCTGTTCTGTAAGCCAATCAACGGGGGCAAGGAGACGTACACCCAGGCCTGTAACACCGACAGCTGTCATATACCGGGTATTCACATTCCCATCATTGTCCACGCCATGTGGTATAACTACGTTCATATCTTGTACATTGTCCGCTGCGTTTGCGTTGAGTCATAGAAAGCCTAACGTTGTAATGGAAGGTAAAATGGAAGGTTGATACATGTTGAGAGGTAATACATATAGTAGTATGTTAAAGATGGTGGTAATTGGTTGGTTGTCTGACTTATCACCTGCTTCTGTACTTCACAGTGAATGGAGGATGGGGTGAATGGGGTGAATGGACCGCAAGTGACGGCGGGGAGTGCTCAGCGTTTTGTGGAGGGGGCAAGGTCAAGCAGTCACGTGTAAGATCCTGTGACAACCCAGAACCTGAGAACGGCGGCGCTGACTGTGAAGGCGAGAGTGTGGAGCAAGCAGTAGCGGAGTGCAACACACAAGGATGTAGAGGTGAGATTCCTGTGGACAACTGCTGTTACTAACAGGCTGTTGGACAGTGAACAGTAAGCGTTGGCTATTGTGATGACCCATGTCAGATATACGTGTTGTGTGTTACAGGTTACTGCCCGGACAGACGTGTGAAGTTCTTTCCCCATCCTACCAACAGAGGTCGCTACTACCAGTGTGGGAACTACATTGCGTACCTCATGAAGTGTCCTAAGGGTCTTGTCTGGGACGACAGCATCTGGACATGCAACTTCGACAACTGAGACGTCACATTACACGTCCCGCTAACATCATGTCACATGCGCATGTACATTCCGTAATAAAATAAACATTCCTGTCAAAAGATGTGTGAGATTTGTTGTCTGATTTAGTCAAACACGATTAGCGGACACGACTAGCGAACACGACTAACATTAGATGTGTTGCTTGAAGTCACTACGGAATCACGGTGATACTATCCAATACCTGCTCACACCATCTCGGCAGACTGTAGGGACTGTACTGTCCAAGATCAGTGTTCACAACCCCACCTTAGAAGACGCAGGCACGCAGGCACGCACGCACTTACGTACGCGTGCGACTAGCGGAAGCGACTAACATTGCATGTGTTCCTGGAAGTCACCACGGAGTCATTTCGGTGATGCTATCTAATACCTTCCGTCATAAAATAAAGATTTCAAAGTAAAGATCTTTTTACATTTCTAATTTACAGAGTATGTCAAGGATGACACTGACTCCAACATCTGAAGATGGTGGTGCTGAATGCCGCCCAATATCTAATAGGTTGACTGACATGGAGAGATGGGCTGCCAGGTCGTGGTCAGATATAAGGAGCTAATTCGAGTTGTGTTGAGGACAACGCGAGAAAACTCCATACTTTGGCTGTCTCGGTAAAACTCATAGAAACATGAACTAAAGAGATGTTTTAATAAATATTGAATAAAATCAATATATAATGAATGAGTATTCAAACTTGGTCCATATTCATAGACTGGTCCAGATTTCGAATCCCATTCAACATTATTCACATCAACCTGATTGCGGCACACGCTCCAATTCAAATGAAGACGTTTCCAGACTGCTTGATATGTACCTACTACGCATGTGTGAATAAATGTCTACACGCTTTATGTTCCACACGGGTACGCGGAGGATTGGCATTTTTAATTGGCAATTTCTTTTTCTACCATGACTATGGAACGTGCCGAATCGCTAATCAGAGGTTTCAAGTTGCAACATCGTGTGTCTGAAACAGTTAGTCTCCTAATCTTCCGAATTTATACATGCGCATCTGCCAATCATGGTAGGCGAAACGGTTAGTCCCAGAAATGAAGTAAGCATATTATTCAAAAATATATATATACTACTCAAAAGAGGTTAAGGATCACCCGATTCTTTCATATTGGTAATGTTAATCTGTCATGGCATGAGAGATTAACTATTGTAATATGAAAGAATCAGGTGATCCTTAACTTCTTTTGATTAGTATATAAACTAAAGAATATAATCCACATGGAGCCTGAAACGATGCTTAATTTCGAAGCTGAGGCAATCTCGACTTGCAAAATCACCCTAGACATGAGTTTGATTCGTTTATTATCTTGTGTCTGGGAGACAGACTAGTAGTGGATGACCCGCTTCACTGTCCTCCCTCAGTAGACCCCGATACATACAATGTTCAAAGATCAATACAATATACTGTTCAAAGATCAATACAATATACTGTTCAAAGATCAATACAATATACTGTTCAAAGATCAATACAATATACTGTTCAAAGATGAATACAATATACTGTTCAGGGATGAATACAATATACTGTTCAAAGATCAATACAATATACTGTTCAAAGATGAATACAATATACTGTTCAAAGATCAATACAATATACTGTTCAAAGATGAATACAATATACTGTTCAAAGATCAATACAATATACTGTTCAAAGATAAATACAATATACTATTCAAAGATAAATACAATACACTGTTCAAAGATCAATACAATATACTGGTGGGGGTGTACCTCGTCAAGGGTAGGATGAGCTCGTGGATGTCTACGTGTCAGAATCTAGGATGAGAATCGGCATGTGTCGTTCTGGCGACTTGACATGGGTGTTCACATCATTGACTATAGGCCCGCATAGGCAACAACGACAAAGCTGATTCATGTGAAGTATTTAATACACATAGGTAATATATTGTTGTCTTTAACACTTATAACAGTGACATAGAGATAGCCGTGTATGTGATCTACCATATGTTTAAACCACTGCATGTGTGTGTGGGCCTGTTATAGTTTTGTAGGTCAAGGTCGTCAGTATAATCTAATAAACACTTGATGACTAACAAATTCAGTCGCGACTACGCACATAAATCCTTGGCGTTACGTGGTCCATATGATCCGGGATTTGTGCATCCAGGGCTGCCAAGTCCGCACGTCAGGTCCGCGCCGTGTTAACACCTCTGTAGAGGAAATATACCTTGTTATTTAATGTTCAATAACATGTGTGAAAGTAGATGTTGTTTAATACATTGCATTTGTCCAGATATTCCATCAAGTTCTGTTCTTTGCAGCGAACAGTTTAGTGGAAACTCCTCACTCGTGCGTGGTCAGCGGAGATCTGGGACATCGCAATGCCCCTAAAAGGTGAGATTATGTGAGGCAATCACTCTTCTGTTCCATTATTTCAAACGATCGTTTCATACTCCTTAATTACACACGTGAATTTTAGTTTGTTCTTTTGGGCGTTGTTTCGGCTTTGATATATCATATGGTTTGTGAATACGTCCATTGTTCCACAACCCGTATTGTACAGGAGCTATTGTCAATGGGTTATTGGGGCGGTCGGGTAGCCTAGTGGTTAAAGCGTTCGCTTGTCACGCCGAAGACCCGAGTTCGATTTCCGACATGGGTACATTGTGTGGAGCCCATTTCTGGTGTCCCCCGCCGTGATATTGCTGGGATATTGCTAAAAGCGGCGTAAAACCATACTCACTCACTCACTGGGTTATTAGGCCCAGTTTTTAGGATAAATATTTTATATGAATCATAACAGTATGGTATCATCCCCAAATTAAACACATGATTAAAAAAAAGACTCTGCTCAGCCCCTGTATGTGTGTGTTGGATCTCTGCTCAACCTCTGTATGTGTGTGTTGGATCTCCGCTCAGCCCCTGTATGTGTGTGTTGGATCTCTGCTCAGCCCCTGTATGTGTGTGTTAGATCTCTGCTCAGCCTCTGTATGTGTGTATTGGATCTCAGCTCAGCCCCTGTATGTGTGTGTTGGATCTCTGCTCAGCCCCTGTATGTGTGTGTTAGATCTCTGCTCAGCCTCTGTATGTGTGTATTGGATCTCCGCTCAGCCCCTGTATGTGTGTTGGATCTCCGCTCAAACCCTGTATGTGTGTATATCTGATCTGGATCTCCGCTCACCTCTTGTATATCTGATCTACATCTCCGCTCACCTCTTGTATATCTGATCTGGATCTCCGCTCACCTCTTGTATATCTGATCTGGATCTCCGCTCACCTCTTGTATATCTGATCTGGATCTCCGCTCACCTCTTGTATATCTGATCTGGATCTCCGCTAAATCGTGTATCTGAGCTGGATCTCTGCTCACCTCCTGTATTTCTGATCTGGATCTCCGCTCACCTCTTGTATATCTGATCTGGATCTCCGCTCACCTCTTGTGTATCTGATCTGGATCTCCGCTAAATCGTGTATCTGAGCTGGATCTCTGCTCACCTCCTGTATTTCTGATCTGGATCTCCGCTCACCTCTTGTATATCTGATCTGGATCTCCGCTCACCTCTTGTATATTTGATCTGGATCTCCGCTCACCTCTTGTATATCTGATCTGGATCTCCGCTCACCTCTTGTATATCTGATCTGGATCTCCGCTCACCTCTTGTATATCTGATCTGGATCTCCGCTCACCTCTTGTATATCTGATCTGGATCTCCGCTAAATCGTGTATCTGAGCTGGATCTCTGCTCACCTCCTGTATTTCTGATCTGGATCTCCGCTCACCTCTTGTATATCTGATCTGGATCTCCGCTCACCTCTTGTATATCTGATCTGGATCTCCGCTAAATCGTGTATCTGAGCTGGATCTCTGCTCACCTCCTGTATTTCTGATCTGGATCTCCGCTCACCTCTTGTATATCTGATCTGGATCTCCGCTCACCTCTTGTATATCTGATCTGGATCTCCACTCACCTCTTGTATATCTGATCTGGATCTCCGCTCACCTCTTGTATATCTGATCTGGATCTCTGCTCACCTCTTGTATATCTGATCTGGATCTCCGCTCACCTCTTGTATATCTGATCTGGATCTCCGCTCACCTCTTGTATATCTGATCTGGATCTCCGCTAAATCGTGTATCTGAGCTGGATCTCTGCTCACCTCCTGTATTTCTGATCTGGATCTCCGCTCACCTCTTGTATATCTGATCTGGATCTCCGCTCACCTCTTGTATATCTGATCTGGATCTCCACTCACCTCTTGTATATCTGATCTGGATCTCCGCTCACCTCTTGTATATCTGATCTGGATCTCCGCTCACCTCTTGTATATCTGATCTGGATCTCCGCTCACCTGATGTATATCTGGGTTGGATCTCCGCTCACCTCGTGTGTCTGAGCTGGATCTCCGCTCACCTCATGTGTCTGAGCTGGATCTCCGCTCACCTCATGTGTCTGAGCTGGATCTCCGCTCACCTCGTATGTCTGAGCTGGATCTCCGCTCACCTCGTGTGTCTGAGCTGGATCTCCGCTCACCTCGTATGTCTGAGCTGGATCTCCGCTCACCTCGTGTGCCTAAGCTGGATCTCCGTTGACCTCATGTATGTCTGAGCTGGATCTCCGCTCACCTCGTGTGTCTGAGCAGGATCTCCGTTCACCTCATGTGTCTGAGCTGGATCTCCGCTCACCTCGTATGTCTGAGCTGGATCTCCGCTCACCTCATGTATGTCTGATCTGGATCTCCGCTCACCTGATGTATATCTGAGCTGGATCTCCGTTCACCTCGTGTGTCTGAGCTGGATCTCCGCTCACCTCGTATGTCTGAGCTGGATCTCCGCTCACCTCGTGTGTCTGAGCAGGATCTCTGCTCACCTCGTATGTCTGAGCTGGATCTCCGATCACCTCGTGTGTCTGAGCAGGATCTCTGCTCACCTCATGTATGTTCAGCTGGATCTGGAGCTCTTTCAGTTGAAGCTGAACAGGTTGCTTGTCATTTGCAGGAATTTCTTTGCCCGGATATGTGTTGATGTGTTGTTTAAATGATGGTTTCAATCTAGCCCTTCTTTCCCTCAGTAGCGAGTTCTCTGGGGACGGTGTCAGATCTAAGATCATAACACCGCTAAGGGTGTGTTCAGTATGGTTAAATATAATCCCTTGTCAGTGAAATGTATGCGCGTTGTTTTACAGACTATATATTCGACCAGGAGACGTTTACCGTCACAGATGATATGCAGTCCTGTTTCAACAACAACGGTTATCTACTGCTCAGGTAATGGCCATGAAATATGGTTTTCTTTTCAAGAAGCTTCTTTTGGCGTGCTAAACATGTATGTGAAGAAACACTATTAATTTCATAGTTATTTAAATGTTATAAAATACAAATACAGAGACACACACACAGTCACACAGACACACAGACACACACAGACACACGCAGACAGACACACAAACACACACACAGAGACACACGCAGACACAGACACACACACACACAGACACACAGAGACACACACAGACACACACACACACACACAGACACACAGACACACACACAGAGACACACAGACAGACATACGCAGACACAGACACACACACACACACACAGACACACACACAGTCACACAGACACACACACAGACACACGCAGACACAGACACACGCAGACACACACAGACACACGCAGACACACACACACAGACACACACACGCAGACACAGACACACACAGAGACACACGCAGACACAGACACACACACACACACACACACACAGACACAGACACACACAGTCACACAGACACACACACAGACACACGCAGACACAGACACACACACACACAGAGACACACGCAGACACAGACACACACACACACACACACACACACACACGCAATTATGAGTGACTGTCTGAAGTCGTTATTGAATTCACTTTATACGTTCTCACAGAGGATTGCTGAGCAGCAGCGAACTGGAGAAAGTGAAGAACGTGGTAGAAAACAATGCCGTCATCGATAAGTTTGCCTATGGCGTAAGTGTGATTGACCCAAGCTGTCAGAGTGTTCTTTACCATTAATGGTTGTGATTCTGTGTTGCATGTTCATTAAAGTCACTGGTGTAGCAAAGGCGTACCTTATGGTGTGTTCTTTATTGGTAAAGGTATTTCTTCAAAGTTCAAGTATAGATTGTTTCTTGACGGTAAAGGTGTTTGATATATTAAATCAGCATATAATTTAATTGTGAAGGTAAAGTTTAAGTTTGAATGTGAAGTATAACATGTCCTGTAATGGTTCAGATGTTTCTCCGATGTAAAGTATATAATGTTCTTTACCATTAATGACGTTGCTCGAGTGTAAAGTATAGTGTGTTCATCACAGTTAATAGCGTTTCTCTGGTGTAGAACAAGGATGACAAAAACCGAGTCAGTCGATTGTGCTTGTGGAATCACCCTGGAAATGACGTTACCGGAATGGTTGCTCGATGCAGCAAGGTTGCCGGGACATGTGAGAAGGTTAGTGATGCTGGCCAGCTATTTCTGACTTCTAGAAAACCCATATACAGGCTTATGGTCCTAGTTACGACAGTCACCGAGATGATAGCATAAGACTCACCTCTGACTGATACCACTGATAAAGTTTTGTGTGTTGAAGTTGTTGTCTGGCGAGGTGTATCACTACCACACCAAACTGATGATGAAGGAAGCGAAGACAGGAGGTAGCTTTGTCTGGCATCAGGACTATGGGCAGGTACCCCTATCTTTCACCATCCAGCCCGAATCCATGTTTCAGTGGCTGGTACCAGAATGGTTGTCTCGAATCCATGTCTCAACTACTGGTACCAGAAAGGTTGTCTCGAATCCATGTCTCAACTACTGGTACCAGAATGATTGTCTCGAATCCATGTCTCAACTACTGGTACCAGAAAGGTTGTCTCGAATCCATGTCTCAACTACTGGTACCAGAAAGGTTGTCTCGAATCCATGTCTCAACTACTGGTACCAGAAAGGTTGTCTCGAATCCATGTTTCAGTAGCTAGTACCGAAAAGGTTGTCTCGAATCCATGTTTCAACTGCTGGTATAAGAAAGGTTGTCTCGAATCCATGTCTCAACTACTGGTACCAGAATGGTTGTCTCGATTCCATATTTCAGTTACTGGTACCAGAAAGGTTGTCCCAAGTCCATGTTCAGATCTATTTGTTTCAGGTACTGGTATCGTAATGGTTGTCTCTTTCCTGATATGATGACTGTCTTCATTGCGCTGGACAAATGTACTCGGGAGAATGGTTGCCTGCAGGTAATGCAGAGTCTGAAACTTGGAGCATATTATACTGGGGCGGGTTTAGTTCTGTCGTGTGTTGTTGGTTGTATGGGCCATGGTGTACGTCTGTAGTGTGTTAATCGTTGTGTTCATCACGATGTAGTTCTGTAGTGCATTCTTGGTTGCGTAGATCACCGTATAGTTATGTAGTGTGTTGTTGGCTGTACTCATCGTGGTGTAGTTCTTTAGTGTATTGTTGGCTGTACTCATCACGATGTAGTTCCGTAGTGCATTCTTGGTTGCGTAGATCACCGTATAGTTATGTAGTGTGTTGTTGGCTGTACTCATCATGGTGTAGTTCTGTAGTGTATTATTGGCTGTACTTATCATGGTGTAGTTCTGTAGTGCATTGTTGGCTGTACTCATCATGGTGTAGTTCTGTAGTGTATTGTTGGCTGTACTCATCATGGCGTAGTTCTGTAGTGTATTGTTGGCTGTACTCATCATGATGTAGTTCTGTAGTGTATTGTTGGCTGTACTCATCATGATGTAGTTCTGTAGTGTATTGTTGGCTGTACTCATCATGGTGTAGTTCTGTAGTGTATTGTTGGCTGTACTCAGCATGGTGTAGTTCTGTAGTGTGTTGTTGGCTGTACTCATCATGGTGTAGTTCTGTAGTGTATTGTTGGCTGTACTCATCATGGTGTAGTTCTGTAGTGTATTGTTGGCTGTACTCATCACGGTGTAGTTCTGTAGTGTATTGTTGGCTGTACTCATCATGGTGTAGTTCTGTAGTGTATTGTTGGCTGTACTCATCATGGCGTAGTTCTGTAGTGTATTGTTGGCTGTACTCATCATGATGTAGTTCTGTAGTGTATTGTTGGCTGTACTCATCACGATGTAGTTCTGTAGTGCATTCTTGGTTGCGTAAATCACCGTATAGTTATGTAGTGTGTTGTTGGCTGTACTCATCATGGTGTAGTTCTGTAGTGTATTGTTGGCTGTACTCATCACGATGTAGTTCTGTAGTGCGTTCTTGGTTGCGTAGATCACCGTATAGTTATGTAGTGTGTTGTTGGCTGTACTCATCATGGTGTAGTTCTATAGTGTATTGTTGGCTGTACTCATCACGATGTAGTTCTGTAGTGCATTCTTGGTTGCGTAGATCACCGTATAGTTCTGTAGTGTATTGTTGGCTGTACTCATCATGGTGTAGTTCTGTAGTGTATATTTGGCTGTACTCATCATTGTGTAGTTCTGTAGTGTATTGCTGGCTGTACTCATCATGGTGTAGTTCTGTTGTGTATTGTTGGCTGTACTCATCATGGTGTAGTTCTTTAATGTATTGTTGGCTGTACTCATCACGATGTAGTTCTGTAGTGTATTGTTGGCTGTACTCATCATGGTATAGTTCTGTAGTGTATTGTTGGCTGTACTCATCATGGTGTAGTTCTGTAGTGTATTGTTGGCTGTACTCATCATGGTGTAGTTCTGTAGTGTATTGTTGGCTGTACTCATCACGGTGTAGTTCTGTAGTGTATTGTTGGCTGTACTCATCATGGTGTAGTTCTGTAGTGTATTGTTGGCTGTACTCATCATAGTGTAGTTCTTTAGTGTATTGTTGGCTCTGCTGATCACCGTGCATCTTCCCGAGGCAAGTGAGTTAACTGACTAAAAAAGTCCAGTTTCCACCCTTGCCGAACTAGGCTGGTATTATGGAGTTACATTTTGGCTGGACTAATAAGTCTATACATAGTCCAATCAAAATCGCTCACCGAAATCGAAATTCGGTTCGTAAACTATCAAGCAGATTTCGGTCGATTGCAGGATTTGCAAAGCATGTGCACCGCTAACTCGTTGTCAACAGATATTTTCTTAATCTTTTCATGTTTTTCATCAAAGTACTTACGGCGATGTGATGCATTTCGCGATGTAAGACACGTTTTATCACAATATAGATCTTGATTATCGATCAGATCATCTTGACTTGGGCGCCGCCGTTTTGTTTGAAACAAATGCAAGTGATACGAGGGGTGGAATCTGATTGGTTCATATGAGAGGCACAGAAGCCACATAACTCGTTATAGCCACTGGTGGCGCTCCGATCGAGACCAGGAATTCCAGCCTAGTTCGGTAAGGGTGGAAACTGGACTTTTAAAGTCAGTTAACTCTCATGCCTCGGGAAGATGATCACCGTGTTGTTTTGTGGTGTATTGTTGGCTGTTCTGATCACGGTGTAGTTCTATAGTGTATTGTTGGCTGGCTGATCACGGTGTAGTTCTGGATTGTATTGTTAGCTGTGCTGATCACAGTGTAGTTCGGTAGTGTATTGTTAGTTGTGTTGATCACCGTGTAGTTCTGTAGTGTATTGTTACCTGTGCTGATGACGGTGTAGTTCTATAGTGTATTGTTAGCTGTGCTGATGACGGTGTAGTTCTATAGTGTATTGTTAGCTGTTCTGATCACAGTGTAGTTCTGTAGTGTATTGTTGGCTGTTCTGATCACAGTGTAGTTCTGTAGTGTATTGTTGGCTGTTCTGATCACAGTGTAGTTCTGTAGTGTATTGTTGGCTGTTCTGATCACAGTGTAGTTCTGTAGTGTATTGTTAGCTGGGCTGATCACCGTGTAGTTCGGTAGTGTATTGTTAGGTGTGTTGATCACCGTGTAGTTCTTTAGTGTATTGTTAGATGTGCTGATCACGCTGTAGTTCTATAGTGTATTGTTCGCTGGCTGATCACAGTGTAGTTCTGGATTGTATTGTTGGCTGTGCTGATCACAGTGTAGTTCTGTAATGTATTGTTAGGTGTACTGATCACCGTGTAGTTCTATAGTGTATTGTTGGCTGTGCTGATCACAGTGTAGTTCTGTAGTGTATTGTTAGCTGTGCTGATCACGATGAAGTTCTGTAGTGTATTGTTGGCTGTGCTGATCACAGTGTAGTTCTGTAGTGTATTGTTAGCTGTGCTGATCACGCTGAAGTTCTGTAGTGTATTGTTGGCTGTGCTGATCACCGTGTATTTCTGTAGTGTATTGTTGGCTGTGCTGATCACCGTGTATTTCTGTAGTGTATTGTTGGCTGTGCTGATCACAGTGTAGTTCTGTAGTGTATTGTTAGCTGTGCTGATCACGCTGAAGTTCTGTAGTGTATTGTTGGCTGTGCTGATCACCGTGTATTTCTGTAGTGTATTGTTAGCTGTGCTGATCACGCTGTACTTCTGCAGTGTGTTGTTTCCTGTGCTGATCACCGTGTATTTCTGTAGTGTATTGTTAGCTGTGCTGATCACGCTGAAGTTCTGTAGTGTATTGTTGGCTGTGCTGATCACGGTATAGTTCTAGAGTGTATTGTTAGCTGTGCTGATCACAGTGTAGTTCTATAGTGTATTATTAGCTGTGCTGATCACGCTGTAGTTCTGTAGTGAATTGTTGGCCTGTGCTGATCACCGTGTAGTTCTGTAGTGTATAGTTAGCTGTGCTGATCACAGTGTAGTTCTATAGTGTATTGTTGGCTGTGCTGATCACGGTGTAGTTCTGTAGTGTATTGTTGGCTGTGCTGATCACCGTGTAGTTCTGTAGTGTATTGTTAGCTGTGCTGATCACAGTGTAGTTCTGTAGTGTATTGTTGGCTGTGCTGATCACAGTGTAGTTCTGTAGTGTATTGTTAGCTGTGCTGATCACGCTGAAGTTCTGTAGTGTATTGTTGGCTGTGCTGATCACGGTATAGTTCTAGAGTGTATTGTTAGCTCTGCTGATCACAATGTAGTTCTATAGTGTATTATTAGCTGTGCTGATCACGCTGTAGTTCTGTAGTGAATTGTTGGCCTGTGCTGATCACCGTGTAGTTCTGTAGTGTATAGTTAGCTGTGCTGATCACAGTGTAGTTCTATAGTGTATTGTTGGCTGTGCTTATCACGGTGTAGTTCTGTAGTGTATTGTTGGCTGTTGTGATCACCGTGTAGTTCTGTAGTGTATTGTTGGCTGTGCTGATCACAGTGTAGTTCTGTAGTGTATTGTTGGCTGTTCTAATCACGGTGTAGTTCTGTAGTGTATTGTTGGTTGTGCTGATCACCTTGTAGTTCTATAGTGTATTGTTGGCTGTTGTGATCACAGTGTAGTTCTATAGTGTATTGTTGCCTGTTCTGATCACAGTGTTGTTCTGTAGTGTATTGTTGGTTGTGCTGATCACAGTGTTGTTCTGTAGTGTATTGTTGGCTGTTCTGATCACAGTGTAGTTCTGTAGTGTATTGTTGGCTGTTCTGATCACAGTGTAGTTCTGTAGTGTATTGTTAGCTGGGCTGATCACAGTGTAGTTCGGTAGTGTATTGTTAGTTGTGTTGATCACCGTGTAGTTCTGTAGTGTATTGTTACCTGTGCTGATGACGGTGTAGTTCTATAGTGTATTGTTAGCTGTGCTGATGACGGTGTAGTTCTATAGTGTATTGTTAGCTGTTCTGATCACAGTGTAGTTCTGTAGTGTATTGTTGGCTGTTCTGATCACAGTGTAGTTCTGTAGTGTATTGTTGGCTGTTCTGATCACAGTGTAGTTCTGTAGTGTATTGTTGGCTGTTCTGATCACAGTGTAGTTCTGTAGTGTATTGTTAGCTGGGCTGATCACCGTGTAGTTCGGTAGTGTATTGTTAGGTGTGTTGATCACCGTGTAGTTCTTTAGTGTATTGTTAGATGTGCTGATCACGCTGTAGTTCTATAGTGTATTGTTCGCTGGCTGATCACAGTGTAGTTCTGGATTGTATTGTTGGCTGTGCTGATCACAGTGTAGTTCTGTAATGTATTGTTAGGTGTACTGATCACCGTGTAGTTCTATAGTGTATTGTTGGCTGTGCTGATCACAGTGTAGTTCTGTAGTGTATTGTTAGCTGTGCTGATCACGATGAAGTTCTGTAGTGTATTGTTGGCTGTGCTGATCACAGTGTAGTTCTGTAGTGTATTGTTAGCTGTGCTGATCACGCTGAAGTTCTGTAGTGTATTGTTGGCTGTGCTGATCACCGTGTATTTCTGTAGTGTATTGTTGGCTGTGCTGATCACCGTGTATTTCTGTAGTGTATTGTTGGCTGTGCTGATCACAGTGTAGTTCTGTAGTGTATTGTTAGCTGTGCTGATCACGCTGAAGTTCTGTAGTGTATTGTTGGCTGTGCTGATCACCGTGTATTTCTGTAGTGTATTGTTAGCTGTGCTGATCACGCTGTACTTCTGCAGTGTGTTGTTTCCTGTGCTGATCACCGTGTATTTCTGTAGTGTATTGTTAGCTGTGCTGATCACGCTGAAGTTCTGTAGTGTATTGTTGGCTGTGCTGATCACGGTATAGTTCTAGAGTGTATTGTTAGCTGTGCTGATCACAGTGTAGTTCTATAGTGTATTATTAGCTGTGCTGATCACGCTGTAGTTCTGTAGTGAATTGTTGGCCTGTGCTGATCACCGTGTAGTTCTGTAGTGTATAGTTAGCTGTGCTGATCACAGTGTAGTTCTATAGTGTATTGTTGGCTGTGCTGATCACGGTGTAGTTCTGTAGTGTATTGTTGGCTGTGCTGATCACCGTGTAGTTCTGTAGTGTATTGTTAGCTGTGCTGATCACAGTGTAGTTCTGTAGTGTATTGTTGGCTGTGCTGATCACAGTGTAGTTCTGTAGTGTATTGTTAGCTGTGCTGATCACGCTGAAGTTCTGTAGTGTATTGTTGGCTGTGCTGATCACGGTATAGTTCTAGAGTGTATTGTTAGCTCTGCTGATCACAATGTAGTTCTATAGTGTATTATTAGCTGTGCTGATCACGCTGTAGTTCTGTAGTGAATTGTTGGCCTGTGCTGATCACCGTGTAGTTCTGTAGTGTATAGTTAGCTGTGCTGATCACAGTGTAGTTCTATAGTGTATTGTTGGCTGTGCTTATCACGGTGTAGTTCTGTAGTGTATTGTTGGCTGTTGTGATCACCGTGTAGTTCTGTAGTGTATTGTTGGCTGTGCTGATCACAGTGTAGTTCTGTAGTGTATTGTTGGCTGTTCTAATCACGGTGTAGTTCTGTAGTGTATTGTTGGTTGTGCTGATCACCTTGTAGTTCTATAGTGTATTGTTGGCTGTTGTGATCACAGTGTAGTTCTATAGTGTATTGTTGCCTGTTCTGATCACAGTGTTGTTCTGTAGTGTATTGTTGGTTGTGCTGATCACAGTGTTGTTCTGTAGTGTATTGTTTGCTGTTCTGATCACAGTGTGGTTCTGTAGTGTATTGTTAGCTGTGCTGATCACCGTGTAGTTCGGTAGTTTATTGTTAGTTGTGCTGATCACTGTGTAGTTCTGTAGTGTATTGTTAGATGTGCTGTTCACGCTGTAGTTCTATAGTGTATTGTTGGCCTGTGCTGATCACCCTGTAGTTCTGTAGTGTATTGCTGGCTGTGCTGATCACGGTGTAGTTCTGGATTGTATTGTTGGCTGTGCTGATCACCGTGTAGTTCTATAGTGTATTGTTGGCTGTGCTGATCACGCTGTAGTTCTCTAGTGTATTGTTAGCTGTGCTGATCAGCGTATAATTCTATAGTGTATTGTTAGGTGTGCTGATCACAGTGTAGTTCTGTAGTGTATTGTTGGCTGTGCTGATCACCGTATAGTTCTAGAGTGTATTGTTAGCTGTGCTGATCAACGTGTAGTTCTATAGTGTATTGTTAGCTGTGCTGATCACCGTGTAGTTCTATAGTGTATAGTTGGTTGTGCTGATCACTGTGTAGTTCTGCAGTGTATTGTTGGCTGTTCTGATCACCGTGTAGTTCTGTAGTGTATTGTTAGCTGTGCTGATCACAGTGTAGTTCTGTAGTGTATTGTTAGCTGTGCTGATCACCGTGTAGTTCTATAGTGTATTGTTGACTGTGCTGATCACCGTGTAGTTCTGTAGTGTATTGTTGGCTGTGCTGATCACCGTGTAGTTCTGCAGTGTGTTGTTGATGTTCTGATCACCATGTAGTTCTGCAGTGTGTTGTTGATGTTCTGATCACCATGTAGTTCTACAGTGTGTTGTTAGCTGTGCTGATCACCGTGTAGTTCTATAGTGTATTGTTAGCTGTGCTGATCACCGTGTAGTTCTATAGTGTAGTGTTAGCTGTGCTGATCACCGTGTAGTTCTATAGTGTAGTATTAGCTGTGCTGATCACCGTGCAGTTCTGCAGTGTGTTGTTGGTTTGCATTTCAGATATTGTCGGGATCACACTTATGTGGTCGTGTGGATCACGGTGTTGTCGGCCGCCAGATAGGAGCTGACGCGGACAGAGTTGCAGAGATTAGCAAAGTGTGTGAGCACCTCTATATAGAGCTTAACCCAGGTAAATCTTTTTTAAAATGTTGTCAGTCTCTATTGACTTGTCATTCAAAATATTGCGGTAGCGCATCAGCTTCTGAACATACCAAACCGAGAGGCATACACATCAGAAGTTACTGTCTGAAACAGTTTATGTTTGTCTGTCATAACCCTACCAGGTGACGCCCTGTACTTCCATGGCAATGTGATACACACCTCAAGTGCCAACAACAGTGACACGAGGCGGTGGGCGTTCCTGTGTGCCTACAACAAAGCCAGCAACAATCCTGTGAAGGAGCATCTGCATCCGCATTACACCCCTCTGACACAGGTACAGTAGCATGAGTCAGTATATGTCCACTCGTATTTCACCCCTCTGACACAGGTACAGTAGCATGAGTCAGTATATGTCCACTCGTATTTCACCCCTCTGACACAGGTACAGTAACATGAGTCAGTATATGTCCACTCGTATTTCACCCCTCTGACACAGGTACAGCAGCCTGAATCAGCGCATCTCCACCCGTATTTCACCCCTCTGACACAGGTACAGCAGCCTGAATCAGCGCATCTCCACCCGTATTTCACCCCTCTGACACAAGTACAGCAGCCTGAGTCAGTGCATCTCCACCCGTATTTCACCCCTCTGACAAAGGTACAGCAGCCTGAGCCAGTGCATCTCCACCCGTATTACACCCCTTTGACACAGGTACAGCAGCCTGAATCAGCGCATCTCCACCCGTATTTCACCCCTCTGACACAAGTACAGCAGCCTGAGTCAGTGCATCTCCACCCGTATTTCACCCCTCTGACACAAGTACAGCAGCCTGAGCCAGTGCATCTCCACCCGTATTACACCCCTTTGACACAGGTACAGCAGCCTGAGGCAGTATATGTCCACCCGTATTTCACCCCTTAGTCAAGCACGTTTATCTCTGACAGAATACAGCAACCTGTCCGTGTGTCGTGTTGCAGGTGGCGGACACTGCGATCATGGAATGTTCCGTGCCCTGGGACAGCACTGGCAAAGACCTGGTCACTAAGGACAGGAGGGAGAGATTCGTTATGGCCAGTTAGTTTCTCTGGTGATAGAATATCAAACAATGCATTACCAATGCTAAAAAAAAGTCAGATTGTCAAACAAAGTGATACTAGTCGCACTATAAATGGTCATATGTGCGCATCAGTGTAAAACTAAATCCAGACACGTATTCGCTTCTGCACGTCCAATGTGTTTGATGCATGATTGATACCTAACGATTGGTTATTACAATTATTATATCCCGCCATGTGCCTGGGTCTATTTGTGGCACAAGTAGGGATGAAAGTAGCATTGAGGAACACATTGGGAACACAAGTTTTCTGGTCTGGCCATGGATAGGCGTCACCATTTTATTGTTTGAGGAATGAAGTATAGATTTGTATCTTTGATTCAGCTTTTAATGTTAATGTAATAACAAAATAAATTAAAGCTGCAAGCAGCAATGGCGGGCTCCAAGTAACACTGTGCCCAAACGTCCATGTTCGAATCCTCAAAGGGTTTCCTTGAACCAAATCCGTCAAATGTAGGCACCACTTGCAGGGTATCGTCGCTAGGAAATTGGCGTGTGCCAGCGGGTCCAGGTCTGTTTTTAAACCATTTCCGACCTCAATCATGTTCGAATCCATAAAAGGTTTGCTTGTGCCAACTCTGTCAAAAGATAGTCACCGTAAATCGCCGCTACGAAATTGGCGTGTTCCAGGGGTGTCCCAAATATAAATCAAATATTACCACCAAGCGGTGTTACTTTTAGCATACAACCAATAACAAAAAATGAGATGCATATGGCACACTAACTTCATGTAAACTTGCAATAGTTTCTGTGGAGAACCTTACAAGATATGATCTTTAAAGCAAAATTTCGTTGAACAAAATTATCAAAATCAAAATCCAATATGGCCCTAACTAAAAAAGAATTCCGAAATCGGCTATTAAAGTTTGATGTGTTACATGTATGTATGGAGACAATTCTCAGAAAGTTTGAAAGCATTTCATGCAGTGGATTCAAAGTTGTTTGCATTTGAAGACAGGTACCCCCAAAACACTATGAAAACCTTGAATCCAATATGGCTGCCAAACCATGTGACCAATGACCAAAGTCAAAGAACAAAAAAAGTCAAGCAGCTCAAGCAGCAGATACATGCAAGGTTTCAAAGTAATCGGATAAGCGGTTGCGGAGCAATAGGGCGAAATACATCTTCAAAATATTCTGTTCTTTTAGTTATCTGCCCTTGGCTTTTAGGTCTACGTCCTTGGGTTTATGGCGGGCACTAGTACCCGACGGTCCACATACACACACAAAATGTGAACAAAATCGAGCTTGGTTACTCTTTAACAGGCCGTAACTTCTTTGTCAGTTGGGCTCCAGTCAAACGGATTAGCGTTCTGCGTTCGTCGGGGCCCCAGGTTCCTGTCGCATTGCTGAGATAAAGTACTAAACTTCTTTCCCACCTCGTTCATATATTCGAATCCTGAAAGGGTTTACCTGTACCAATGCCGTCAAATGTAAGGAACCTCTTGTGAGACATCACCACCACTAAATTGACATGTGCCCCAGGATGTTTTAACCAATTTCCAACTTCGACCATGTTCGAATCCTCAAATGGTTTGCTTGTACCAACGCCATCAAATGTAAGGAAGCGCTTGTGAGACATCACCACATGTGTCCCAGTGTGTTCTCAATCCATGTTTGACTTCGACCATATTCGAATCCGCATATGGTTTGCTTGTACCAACGTCGTCAAATGTAATAAACCGCTTGTGAGACATCACCACATGTGTCCCAGTGTGTTCTTAACCCATGTCCGACTACGACCATGTTCGAATCTCCAAATGGTTTGGTTGTACCAACGCCATCAAATGTAATAAACCGCTTGTGAGACATCCCCACATGTGTCCCAGTGTGTTCTTAACCCATGTTTGACTTCGACCATGTTCGAATCCGCATATGGTTTGCTTGTACCAACTCCGTCAAAAGATAGTCACCGTTTTCAGGACATTGCCGCTACCAAATTGGCGTGTGCCACAGTTTCCCAGAGTGTACTAAACCAATTTCCAACCTCCATATTCTAATCCGCAAATGGTTTGCTTTTAACAAGGCCGTCAAAAATAAGGTACCATAGCAATTGGCAATTGAAAAATGAAGAACCAAGTCAGCGAGTCTGACCACCCGATCCGATTAGTCGCCTCCTGTGACAAGCATAGTTGCCTCTTGAGACAAGCATCGGTTGAAAAAGGCCAATTCTAATCCTGGTCGTCAAGGGTAGTACACATAATACTGAACAAGACTGTGGAGAACGCTTGCAAAGCCAGTGAATGGGGGTGTTTGGTAGATTTATGAGGCGCTTCCTTCAGTATTTGTACTCAAGTCTGATTTTTAACTTAAATCAAATAATACTACACCAAGCAGTGGTGCTTTCAGTATGCAACCCAGAACAAAATGAGCTACATATAGTCTCAAAGCTTCATGCAAACTTTCAATAGTTTCTGTTAAGAACCTTACAAGTTATGATCTTAAAAGTAACATTTCGGTGAAAAAAATGATCAAAATCAAAATCCAATATGACCGCAACTAAAAAAGATATCCAAAAACGGCTATGCTTATTTGTTGTGTTCTGTATGGAGACAATTCTCAGAAAGTTTGAAAGCATTTCATGCAGTGGATTCAGAGGAGATAGTATTTGAAGACAGGTACCCCCAAAACCCTGTGAAAACCTTGAATCCAATATGGCTGCCAAACCACGTGATCAATGACCAAAGTCAAAGAACAAAAAATATCAAAGAACTAAAGCAGCAGATACATGCAAGGTTTCAAAGTAATCGGATAAGCGGTTGCGGAGCAATAGGGCGAAATACATCTTCAAAAAATACTTGTTTTTCAGTTATCTGCCCTTGGCCTTTCGGCCTACGCCCTAGGGTTTTTGGCGGGCACTAGTACCCAACGGTCTACAAACACCCACAAAATTTGAACAAAATCGAGCCGGTGGTTATTTTGCTAGGGCAGGTACAAAAATCGGCGGAATAATAAATAATAATAATAATAATAATTAAAGCTGCTAGCAGCAATGGCGGGCTCCAAGTAACACTGCGCACAAACGTCCATGTTCGAATCCTCAAAGGGTTTCCTTGTGCCAAATCCGTCAAATGTAGGCAGCACTTGCAGGGCATCGCCGCTACGAAATTGACATGTGCAGTGGCATCCAAGTCTGTTCTAAACCCATTTCCGACCTTGAACATGTTCGAATCCTCAAAGGGTTTGCTTGTACCAACTCCGTTCAAAAATTGTCACCTAACATCGCTGCTACGAATTGGCGTGTTCCAGGGGTGTCCCAGGGGTGTCCCAAATATTGATCAAATATTACCACGAAGCGGTGTTACTTTTAGCATGCAACCAAGAACAAAAGATGAGGTATACATGTCAGACTAACTTCATGTCAATTTTCAATAGTTTCTGTGGAAAACCTTACAAGATATGATCTTTCAAGTAAAATTTCGGTGAAAAAAATCATCAAAATCAAAATCCAATAGGGCGATTACTAAGAAAGATATCCAAAAACGGCTAACAGAGTTTAATGTATAATGTATGGAGACAATTCTCAGAAAGTTTGGATGCAATTCAGACTGTGGATTCAGAGGAGATAGGATTTGAAGACAGGTAACCAAAAAACCCTGTGAAAACCTTGAATCCAATATGGCTGCCAAACCACGTGACCACTGACCAAAGTCAAAGAACATCAAATGTCAAGCACCCAAAGCAGCAGACACATCTAAAGTTTGAAAGTAATTGGACAAGCGGTTGCGAAGCAATAGGGCAAAATATAGCTTTTAAAATTGCTTATTTTTCAGTTATCTGCCCTTGGTCTTTGGGCTTACGGCCTTGGAATTTGTGTGGTATCTGGTACGTAAGTATCTGGATACACATACAAAATTTCAATGGAATCGAGGCAGTGGTTACTATGCTAGCTCTGGTACAAAAATCGGCGGAATAATAATAATATTAAATCGAACAATAGCACTGGGACTCTTCAGCTTTTCGGCTTGGTGACTCTGAACCAGACTGTAACTTCTTTGTCAGTTGAGCTCTAGTCAAATGGAGGAGCGTTCTGAGTTCGTCAGGGCCCCGGGTTTATGTGGTATTGCTGAGATAAAGTGCTAAACCTGTTTCCGACCTCGTCCATGTTCGAATCCTCAAATGGTTTGCCTGTACCAACGCCGTCAAATGTAATGAACCGCTTGTCAGACATCACCACGTGTGTCCCAGTGGGTTCTTAACCCATGTTTGACTTCGACCATGTTCGAATCCTCAAATGGTTTGCCTGTACCATCGCCGTCAAATGTAATGAACCGCATGTCAGACATCACCACATGTGTCCCAGTGTGTTCTTAACCCATGTTTGACTTTGACCATGTTCGAATCCTCAAATGGTTTGCCTGTACCAACTCCGTCAAATGTAATGAACCGCTTGTCAGACATCACCACATGTGTCCCAGTGTGTTCTTAACCCATGTTTGACTTCGACCATGTTCGAATCCGCATAAGGTTTGCCTGTACCAACGCCGTCAAACGCAAGGAACCGTTTGTGAGACATCCCCACATATGTCCCAGTGTGTTCTTAACCCATTTCCGACCTCGAATCCTCATGTTCGAATCCTCAAAGGGTTTGCTTGTACCAACTGCGTCAAAAGATAGTCACCATTTGCAGGACATCACCACTACGAAATTGGTGTGTGCCAGAGTTAACCAGAGTGTTCTTAACCCATTTACCACCCAGACAATGTTCGAATCCCGATAATCGCCTCTTGAGACAAGCATGAGTTGCTGAAGACCAATTCTAACCCTCATCTTCAAGGGCAGCATACATACTGCAAAAGACACTTGACGGTCAAAGGGAAATAACCCTAGGTTTTCTGAGCGATGTATTCGGTATTTTGTCCATATTACCACCAGGCGGTGTTACTTTTAGCATGCAACCAAGAACAAAAGATGAGGTACATATGGCACACTAACTTCATGTAAACTTTCAATAGTTTCTGTGGAGAACCTTACAAGATGTGATCTTTATTTAAAGGAACAATTCGGTGAAAGAAATCATCAAAATCAAAATCAAACAGAGCCGTCACTAAGACAGATATCCAAAAACGGCTAACAGAGTTTGGTGTGTTATGTGTGGAGACAATTCTCAGAAAGTTTGAAAGCATTTCATGCAGTGGATTCAGAGGAGATAGTATTTGAAGAAAGGTACCCAAAAAACCCTGTGAAAACCTTGAATCCAATATGGCAGCAACTAAAAAAGATATCCAAAATCGGCTAACAGAGTTTGATGTGATATGTATGGAGACAGTACTCGGAAAGTTTGGATGCATTTCATGCATTGGATTCAGAGGAGATAGGATTTGAAGACAGGTACCCCCAAAACCCCGT